GCAGCTGGCAGAATTTTTTCAACTTGCCAGAGCTACTGAGAACAAAATGTAAAGCTAACAGTCTGTTTATAAGACTTCTTAGAAGAACTTGATGCTCAGAGATGGGGAAGGGGGAAAGAAAGAGCTCGCTGCAAAGAGGCAAGAGCTGACTCTAAAATTCCACAGAGCCCCAGCATTTTTACCTCCTTCCTCCTGTACTGCACTTGAACCAGAACCAAATCATCTCAGGTGCTGAAGTCATATGAGAACATGGAGTCACAGGAGCACAAGCCATTCCTGAGGCTGTGCAAATCCTTTGTCTGAAAGTGCGTTCCATTATGAAAGTAGAAGGTCTTTTGACATTTAGATCTAGCAGATGTAATGGTGAGCCATTTCTGAACCAAGAAGTCCCATTGGATGTCATGTGATCTAAAACACAGGTCTGTGTATCCACACCACCCATTCTCTTCTCTTTTCCATGTGTATAGGCAAAGGAATTGATGATATGGAAGAGGTGACCTGTTTGTCAGGAAGCAATAAAGGCAGCAATTCTGAAGTTCAGTCTCTCAGCTCTTACCAGTCAGATTCGGGTGATGATAATGGTAAGAATATTAATAATTTTTATGTTATTACCAAAAAGGGCTTGGATACTAGGATTCTAGCAAATCTTTCTGTACTAAGTGAAATGTTCAATAACATGTAATTGCTATATAATATTGAATCGTTGTATAATATTGAAGCTACACAATTAACTTCTACAGGTAGTTGGGATATGGAAATCAGCTGTTGATAGCTTTGTACTAAATTTGATATATGCAAAGAATATCCCAACACCCATAACTACTGAATGTTATTGTACTGAAGGCTACTATCTTCGGCAAGCCCTCTTTAAAAATATATATATATATATTTTTTTCTTTACACTACAGTTGCCATTAGGGAGTAGTGTGTTTAAAATTGCTGAAAAAATCTCTAGGAAAAGGATCTGAAACTCTGTAGCAAGGCCTACCTTGATGTTTCTATTCTATTCTCAAACGTTATATAAAATCACTGAACAAATGAATAAATCACATAGTTGCTATGATACAGACAATGCTGTAGCAGATATTTCCCCTTCTAAACAGATCTTCATATAGTCTTGGCAAAATAATGTTTTCCAAACCTCCACAGAGGGTTCCATGGGTAGGAGAGAAGATGCCTACTAGAAGAATCATTTCTGGAGCCAAGTACAATGGCCTGGGCATAAATCCATCTACCCTGACCTAAAATTTTGAGCGATTACCACATTTTGTGATATTTTTGGCAAATTCAATGTGACATCTTGAGAGATTTCACTCCAAGAGTGCCCAAGTGTTGCAAAATGTTGGTAGTTTTGAGTGTTGCAAAATGTTGGTAGTTTCAACCAAATACCATGTGAGACTTCCCACATGAGATTTGTTAAATGACTAACATTTAGATGTTGACATGCCTATTATATCATGTATGTTGAACTTCAGGTCAACTTAAATGTGCTATTGCTATCACTGCTAGGGTCTCTTCTGACATCTTATTTGCTCTTCTGCTTGTGGCACAGGATAGCATCTATCTAGTGACTGACATGGCCTTCCCTATCATTAGGCATTGGAAACATTTAATTCTGTGCTGCCAAAGAAGCATAGTATCTTCTTAGTTACTTCATTGAGTCCTGTATTTTTACTTCTTAGAAGAAAAGCAGGTGCTTATGGAATTTTGTTCCCCAGATGCTAAAATAATTGAATAGAGTTTTTAAAATGATAACAAGGCTGGACTCAGGAGTTGGAAGGACACCATTCATTATTCTCCTTCAAGCATGGAAAACCTCCTGGCATAGTCCTGGTGTCTGTTGTTTGTAGGCATGACCTGCCTCAGCAAAGGAGTTCAGATATGATAAAACGTCTACTCCTTTTTATTGTTTAGTTAACATCACATTGGCTTTCATGGCATTTTCCCATCCTGACTTCCATCTTCATTTAGCCATTCTTCACGTGCTCTAGTAATGCATATGGTTCACAAGACTAATAGAAAAGTTATCATGCTCCCACCCACTTTGTAATTCTTGGTCTCCCCATGCCAGAACCTCCAAGCTTATACAGAGCCATTGGACATATTTGGAATGTTGAGAAACTGCCAAGGATGCCAGCACAAAAGGGTTGCCATGGAAGGCTCCCATTCATAAAATGGCTGAGTAGAGTTTGCAGTCAGTCACCCAAAATTTATTTACACCCCCCCCCGCCCAAAACCCATACTGGTTAAATAGAAAGGATTTGCCCCCAACCCTGAATTGGGTCCAGGCTTCAAAATACAAAAACAGTTTTGACCACCATGTCTACTAGATTATGCACACCCAGGACTATCTCCATCCTCTCTGTCTTTCTCTCCCACATTCTCACACAAAATTTCAGATCACCTGGTCAGTCATTTTCTTTCTCATTCTGAATCAACCATTCCCCAAATATTCTCCCACACTAACACCCCAAGCACACTGACTCATCTTTTATCCTTTCTATTTCTATCCGTACCTTCTGTCCATACCTACTCACATCCTATTTCCTGGTTTCTCATCCTTCTACTTGGGTCAGACCCTCTTAGGTTTCTCTGCTCTTTCTTTCCATATTAGGTCAGTCACAGTTCTTATCCATCAATCAGCCATACTCTCATCCTCAAATCTCCAAATTTTCCATGCACTCACCTTCCCTTTCTTTTCATTTCCTTTTTCTGGGGAGTTGGGAATGGTTCAAAGGAAAGCATTATCTTTGGTGCTGGATGGGTGGCACTGCCCCAAACAGACCCCGTGTGCAATCTGGGGGGTGTCCTAGACTCACAACCCGTGCTCAAAGAGCAGGTGGCAGTTGTGGCTAGGAGGGCCTTTGCACAACTTCATTCCTAGATTGAGGGGCTCTACTCATGGTCACTCATGCCCTACTCATCTCCCGGTTGGACTATTGTAATGCACTCTACGTGGGGCTGCGCTTGAAGAGTGTCCGGAAACTTCAACTGGTACAAAATGCAAAGGCACAGACAGTTATGTGTGTTTCTAGTAGAACACATTACCCCTCTGTTCTGTGAGCTGCATTGGTTACCAGTCTGTTTCCAGGTCCTATTCAAGGTGCTGGTTTTGACTTTTAAAGCCCTACATGGCATGGGACTGGGTTATCTGAGGGACTGCCTTTCCCTGATGACAGCTGCCCATCCCACCACATCCAGAAGAGAGGGTTGGTCCCATTGACTGGGAAGCTACATTTGGCAGGCTCTAAGTGGCGGACCTTCTCTACTCTGGTGCCTACCCTATGCAATATTCCTCCCCCGAAGTGAGGCTGGCTTCATCACTTTTGACCTTCTGAAAGTCCCACAAAACCTGGTTGTGCCATCAGGCCTGGTGACCCCAGGGGACTGGTGAATTATTAAGGTGGCTCCACTATTATGTGAACATCTCTTCACCTAATATTCCTTCTTTTTAGTTTTGTTTGTATAATTTTTCATATTTTAATAATTATTATAATAATAATAGTTTAGTATTTAGTAACTAACTTTTTTAGCTTTGTTGTACATCACCCAGAGTCACTTCTTGTGAACTGGATAGCTATAAAAATTGGATAAATAAATAAATAATGACCCTCCAAATGTCTAAGATTCCCTGGGACCCTTTGTGGCTCAGAACAATTCATGGCAAATGTTTTGAGGTCAGTGCTTTGAAGCACTACCCACTGTCTTTTAAAACTATATATAACTAAATGAATACGTAACACATGATAGCATTTGTGGAGTGGTGAGTGTTTGATCTCCTGGGGTAGTGGTTATTGGGGCAAGGTTGAAAGGCAACCACCTCTCATCAGATAGCTAACATTGATAAGCAGGTGATCTCTGAAGGTCGGATTGTCAGGTCTAGTTGTTCTTTCGACAAGCATTTCAGCCTATGTATTCCTGTTCCTATTTTAACGGTATGAAAGAGATTTTTCTTTGGGGTATCCTTTTGAAATTCTTTTCCCGGTGTCATCACAGGATCACAGCATTTTGGAGGTATCAGTCCCACTGGTTTGGAAGCAGATCTGGGGAGGGATATTGGCTGGAGACATTACAGAGCCCTTTAGGCACTCTCCAGATGTGTTGGACTGCAATTCAAGATCATGTTGGCTGGAAATTCTGGGACTTTCAGCCTGAAAGGGTCCCCAGAAACCAGGAAAAGCAATAAAAGGACATATAAGGATTTGGGGGACTTCTCAATAAGTCTTCAATGTAACTGCTGTCCAAGAAGAGACAACCCAGGCTTGAGAATATTTATAGCTAGATCAGGGGAAACACATTAGCTGCCTAGATGGGTGGAGTTTGTTTGTCCATAGGAATGTAACACTGATTCAGCCTTCTTTCTGCACCAAGGGTGATGGTTTACCATGAGGAGCATAGGATCATAGACCTCAGCAATGGGCAATGCTTTGCATGTCAAAGGTATTGGGTTCAATATCCAATTCCAAAGTAGAAAAGCTACCAATTCAATGATATTTGTGGACCTTTCAAAGCTTTGTAGGTGCCCCTAAGAGCTTCTTCAAAAATTGTCACCAAATAATAATTTTTACCATGACACAATAATGGAAGAGGAAAATAATTAAATGCATAAATATTAACTGAATTTAATTAATTTAAAATATGTTTTATTTAAATTATTTTGTTCTTCTGCTGGCCCTGCATACCGCTTTGTCGTGACCTTTCCTTCCTTCCCCACACTACCCCATATACTATTAAAAAAGCTTCATTCCAATAATTGTTGCTTTTGAGTTAAAGGTTCAAGTTACAATCGATAATTAAAATCTACTGGTGATCCTGGAATAAATGCTAATCTAAATAAATAATTCTGAGCTAGATGAACCAATGATCTACAAAGGAGGTCTTATTCTAACATTAGTCTACTGGTTGTATTCTCATTGTTAATAATATGAAATTCTCTCTTTTGACACACTGATAAACCCAACATTGAATAAGTGGCCATCACTGGCTTAAAAGAATCTTAAAAGTAATTAAGGAACGGTAGCCATTAAACGGAAGCTATTTAATTAGCAATGTTAATCTGAGACTTCTACCATTCTTAAATGCTTCCCTAGCAGAATTTGTAGGTTTTGTGTTCACTAAGCAGTAAGAAGCAAGCAATCCTAGTGGGAAAAGGTTTAGCCAAAGACTTTTCAAACCACCTTGTATCATTCTGGTTGCCTCAAAGATAAGGACCACTTCAAAGGTAGCACTTAATCTCAAGAGGTTTTAAGCAATAATCACCTAGAGATGAGTCTCAGGTAGATAAAATCCTCTTCTGGTTCACTGAATCTTCAAGGCTGAATTTATGAACTTGTAGTAATCATCTCATAGGACCTTTTGAGTGTTGCTCCCATTTGGTTTCCTGTTGTAGTGGGAAAAAAAGAGAGAGTGTGTGTATGGGATTACCAGGAGTTGAAATTTTCTTAAATCATTGCATAACTCATTTGTAATTGTCTATCCTTCCTTAGTCCACCTCTTGCAGCTAATCTGAGATTACGTCATTGATAATCTTACAGCTCTGTGTGTAATCAATAAATACTAACTTGAGACTGTCCTTCCTTTCCTGCTTTCCTCCTCATGCAAGCTTCCATTGTGACTGTCATACAACTTGTCAACAATGTAGTTGACACAATAGAAAATGAAGGTATTTAATCTTTTTTAAAATATATAGATATAGATATATAAACTTTTCCTCCTGCACTGTTGTCTATTGTTTGTTGATTGTTTGTTTGTCTGGTTTTGTTCTTCTATATGAAAGATCACAGCAGAACTTTGTTAACTCACACTGACTAGCCAGGACTCAGCAAACAACTATTTTGCAAAGAAGGAAGATCTTGAAAGATAGCAATAAATACTGGTCAAAAGCAAAGTATCACCCTTCATTTATTATGATTACAGACATTAGAGAATTGAAGCCAACAAGGTTTTGTTTCTAATTAGTTTTGTCTGGTGGGGGGATAGACTTCCCAGACAAGTAGTGTCCATTAAACCTGAACAAGTGAACTAAATTAACAGAAAGGAGCTGGATCAGAAGATGGGAAATCATACATACACAGTTCTTCTCTGTTTTCAGGGATATTTAACATAAAGTGTGTATGTAGCAGCCTTAGCTTAACACAGTATACATTTATAGTTCCATACAGACCATTTTTTACAGTGTCTTACCTGTTTCACTCCCTCCCTTTCTCACTCACCCAGCTTCCTTCTGTGTGCTTTCACCCCTGGGGTCACATCTATACTGGGGAGAATAGAAAGAGGGAAAAATGCTTTTCTGGGATTCTTAGATTCTGGCACCTTTGTCGAGCTGTCTTTGCTGACATCTAGTCCACTGTCCAAACACTGTAGTCCTTTCCCCCAAGCAGGTCACTCTTTCCCTCAGGTCCTACTGGGCTCCAACTGCAGATTCCTCCTCCTTGATACACATAGTATTGCCAGTCCATGCTGTACAAACACAACTCCAAAAATACTGAACAATCTCCCCTTCCATTACTGAATGCTTCTGCCCTTTTATATATTTACAGCTAGAAGGCAGATGTTTTAATTAGGTAGGCACAAAGCTTCTTGACCTCTCCATGATACTGAACCTGATTTTGGTCCACAGGAAAAAACCCTTTAACCTTGAGACCCAAATCCATCAGAGCAACTCATCCTGCCACACATCCCCTTCCTTAAGATTCCAAGAAGGCCAAGTCAAGAAACAGACACTCACAGATTCCAGGAATGCTCCTTTGTTGTTTTAGGGTATATTAACAAAATCTAGAAAGCCCATTCAAAACATTCAGTGCCCCATTTTTAAGGATAATAAGGTCAAGGCAAGGATGGCCCAAGTCTCTCTCTCACACTTTCTACTTTCCCAGGACTGAGGACCTTTCCTCTTTCCTCTCCTCCTTCTCAAGGCCAGAGCTAAATTCCTCTACAGATAAGGCCTGGGAAGTCTACTCAAGCCTTGAATGCCCTTTGTTGTTTTCTTTGTCTTGTCTCCTTTGTGGTTCTGAAGTCTTCCTCACTCTTTCCCAAAGCTGATTCCTCATTTGAACTGCAAACATTGGTTTTCTCTGGGCATTTTCCCTTGAACAAATTTAGGAGGGCTTGCAAACTAACTTCAACCTGCTCCAACAGTTCTTTCTCCACTGGTAATGGGCTCTCTGCTTTTACACTAGCCCCATTTCTGTTGTGCCTTAACCTCTGGTTACTACTTATGCTTTTCCCTTCCTTGCTCAATCTCACATCTTGGGATTTAGGGTTATTACTTCCTAATTCCTTTCATTTGACTTTGTTAACAATAGCTGCTATGTTTCCTTCTCCTCTAGTCCCCTTTGCTTATTAAATGATAACATATTGAGATATTTGTGCCCACCACCCCATCACAAGGTAGATGAGCTACAATCCTCCAATAACGTATTTTGTGATTTATTGCTAACTGGGCCTTCACCAAAAGGGTCTTCCCCAAAATACATGTGAAGACTTGCATGCCTATTCTGGGAGAAACTCTAACAAAATAATGGTGAACACCAGTGTTCATGCTAGCTGTATCATTAAATCAAGCATTTTTATTCCATTGATCCTTGCTTATATATATTTTTTCTTTTCAGCTTAGCTGAACTTTGGAGATTAACTACCAATAAACTTTTCTGGGTCTCACTTGGGCAGGTTTGGGCTCTGTGACCAATCTTACTGCATATGATACATTTTCTCCTACTTATATCCCCATCTTGACTTTTTGCTGTTCTTTTTATCCTACTGACCTTCTTACTTAGTCTTCTTATGTTCCCCAGTCTCCACTTTCTTATGAGCTTCTCTTTTCCCTGGCGCTTTCTAACAACCAGCTTTTCCTTGCATTCTCTGTCCTTCAGGTAGCTAAATAATCCTCCATCAACTGAACTGCACAATTGCCTGTCTCTGAGTGGTGCTCTTCTAACCAGAACACACAGATCTTGGGGGAACCATTCTAACTTGTTCCACTATTTCCTCTGAACTCCTTTTCTCTGGTTGTAACCATTTACGACCTAGATCTGCCAGTCAAGCCCACAATTCTCAGATTCCTTCCTGAGCTACATATAGGCATTCCCTAAATTCTACCTGTATGTATATTTTATTACCTTATATTCCTGTAAGATTGTCTCCTTCACTTTGTTCCTATGGCTTTTCCTGTAAGGCTCAATGCTGACTTGGCAACCCATTCTGTTCTGCCCACGCACATGTGGTTGCCAAACGTTGTAAAAAAAACCTCAAAAAAGGATTCTGTGTTGTCCCCTCCTGCTAATTTTGGAATTTAATATCCTTAAGCTCTTCCCTGATACAAGGTGAAGAAGAAGATCTCATTCCCATATCTAGCACAGAAGCTGGCACACTTTTAAGAGCCACTAGCATCTCTTTAAATTCCTATAAAGAGTCTCCCTTTCTAATCTTCACACTCCAATCTCTCATATCTTTCAGGTTCCCCCCAACATCTTATCTTATTCTGGGTGTTGTAACATTAGCTAGAACATCTTTACCCCTGGCTTAGAGGATTCTTCCTTTGATTCCTCTTCTCTTCCTCTTCCCCCCAGACTTAACTGGGGACTCTCTCCACCATCATACCCTTCTACCCTGTAGGGAGTTTCTATTTGCTGTTCACCTTGCCAGGTGTAAGCGCATGCACAAGATCCACAATCCTCTATCTGTGCATCCTGTCACAGGTTGCCAAGGAAACCATTATAGCAAAATTCCTCTCATAGCATCAGTTCCTGCAGATCTTTTGGAGTATTTCAACCTATTTGGAAGTCAGAGGGGTGATAATAAGTCTTCTCCAACACATCAAGAAGACACCAGGTTTGGGAAGGCTGCCTGGGATATCAATCAACTTAATTTAGGACAGCGCCCTGTGGTAGACCTTCTGACAAAATCCGATGCAAATAATTCAGTTTGGAAAATCAGTTCAGTTCTCATAATCAAATTGGGTCCATTCAATTCAGATTTCAGAATCAGTAAAAAAAGAAGACATTTCCAGGTATATCCAACAGTATCCCAATCTATTTGAGGCAACAATTTGAATTGACTTTCCAATTCAGTTCAGAAAGGTAATTCACAGTGATCAAATCACCTTCGAATTTAATCTCCAAAGTAAATATTTGCAAAACTCTAATGAACATTTAAGGAGAAGTTTGCAAAGCTGTTAATATTTCCTCCCCGTATTTGTGGAAGCAGTTTAATCATCGGCAGATTGTCCTTTTGTGAGGGTTGAGTGTACTTCCAATCTACTTTCTCAACTGAGAGCTCAGTATCCTCACTAAGATTAACACTATGAATTTTAGGGTTTTTCCTCTCTCTCTGTTTCATGAACCAGTAATAATTATCATTGTTTTCACATTATGTTTGTAAAGGTAGTCACCTTTTACAGCCTTACCTACCCAAGAGGCAGAGGCTAAGAAATGGTTCTATGTCTAGGGCCACCATGAACATTTATTTATTTATTTATATTATTTATATAAAGCTTTATTACCACCTTTCCTCCAGGAACTCAAGGTGGCATGCAGAACACTCCCCCTTGCAATTTTTTTTCCCCCAAAGCAACAACTCTGTACAATAGTCTGGGCTGAGAGGAAGTGGCTGGTACAAAGTCACCCCATGAGCTTCTGTGGCCAGAGGTGGACGTGAACCAGGTCTATCCGGTCCTAGTCCAGCACATGAACAATTAATACCATGCTACATTACAAGAGTGAGATTTGAATCTGGGGAAGGGATCTTTCCTTTTTCCATATTCACATATTTTAATCCTTGATTCCTCTAGATGTGATCTTTTGGTCTCAGATTCAGAGCAGGTACAATGCAGTCTCAGGTGGGAAGAACTTCCTGCTTTGCTTGTACCATCATCTTTAGTGCTACGGTAAATAAACATGGCCCAGGAGGCTCCTCTAAGACCATCTTTGCAAAACCTTTTTCTAAAGCAGAATTAATGAGGGCTGTTACTTCAGAACAACATCCCCGGAATCACTCTAAAAGTTGTTGCTGAATTTCTGACGTAAGTGTGACACAAAGGGGAAATCACTCAATACATATGGAGTAGATCTAGCCACTGCATTTAAGTAATGTAATTATAATTACATTTAAATTAATTCATATATTTTATGCAGCCCTACCTCCCTTTTGGAATGCAGTCTCAAATGCAAAGTGCCACCTTTGGCTTGAAAAGAACTGAAAACTAATGTTTGACTCTACAGTCAAGACAGTCAAGAGCAGTGGTTGGCTCTATGTCATTGGATGTGTTCAAGCAGAGGATTGACAGCCAGATAGGTTTCTGGAGATGCTTTGGTTAAATTCCTGTGTCAAGCAGGGAGTTGGCCTTGATGATGTAAAAGGTCTTTTTCAACCCTATGATTTTATGGATCCCACTTTGCCCCCTCTTTCTGCATGAATGCTTCCTAATTGCCACCATACCAACTGAAAGAATCACAATAAAACAGAACAGAACAAAGTTTATTGCAGTGAATGATCAGGGCAAAAGAGAGAGACAGAAAGAGAGAGAAAAAATACAGCAAAATATCCATGTGCATATGAATGAATGGATCAATAGGTGGATTTAAGATAGTATAAAATTATCGACATAAAACCTATAAAACCTGTTGAGTTGATCTAGATTTATAAAGTCTATTATCTAAAAAACTTACCTATTTTATTTGCTCCTTTACAATTTTTGGTTGAGGGCACATAAGTCAGAAAAGTGGAGAAAGTCAATAAATTTATGACATACAATATTTGAGAGCATGGGAATATCTATCTGAAACTGAAGAGCAGCCTTCTCCAGCCTGGTCCCTTCCTTAATATTTTGAACTGTAATTTCCATCAGTCCTAGCCAACATCACCAGCAGTCAGGGAATGAGAGAGTTGTAATCCCAAACATTTCCAAAATTAGTAAACCTGAAAAATAATTGACAAGTCCCCACCCAGATGCTTCCAGAAAAGAATATTGTTTGAAACTACCTTAGTGGGCAGAGGCGTTGGTGTGAAACATTTTACACCTTGAGTCCTTGGAAGTACCCAAAGTAACCAATTAAATGAACATTTCCATTCAGAAATGTGTGAGACCTTGCTTGCGTGATTCTTGCTTCAACCCAGGAAGGGAAAGTCAGTGGTTGTATCTTGCAGAGCAGGCAAGTTAAGAGGTTAGTGGAGTTCTGCTGTGTTGTGTAAAGATAACCGTGGCTTGCCCAACCTGGCATCTTTCAGATTGTGTGAGCCCCTAAATGCTCCAAAGTTCAAGCTGGCATGGCCCCAAACTAAGAATGCACCATCCCGACACATCTAGAGAGTGCCAGGTTGGGGAGAGCCGCACTGCAACGAGTGACACACAAAAGCTCCTTGCACCTGGTCAAGAGAACGTTTGGAGTCTGTGATTTTGTTTTGTTTTTGTATAGTCAGGGCCGGTTCAGACAGCGCTACCTGAGCTGCAACCACTGGTAGGAGAGAAAGTCTCTTCCTCCTGCTAGCCTAGTTTCTTTACCCCCACAAAACATGCAGTGCACTCAGGAAACGCTTGCAAAAAGCCTGTTTATCTAATCCAACCCAATCCTGTCGGCTGCTCTACCCAAAAAAAAAAAATCCTGCTGTAGTCTTGCAAGTTTTCAACACTTGCCACACTACTTGCAACTCTTCCACAATAGCAACCCAACCATGCAATGTGGAAGTTGCTACACTGAGCAGATTCTTGCACCATTTGAGGCTTGGCCATAGGGAAGAGTGCCAAAATTCTACCCCTAGTTGAAATCTGGAAGGGGTTGAGCCCTTTCTGGCACCATTTCTGACCTGTTCCAGTTCTGCTTTTTGACTGAAGCAAAATCTGGTGGCAGCTCCATTCAAAAACACCCCCAGCAACAGCTGTCATTGCACTATGCATCATAAAAGTAATGAGGGCTACCAAAAGCCCACCAATAGATTGCACTGAGACCTTGTGTTTCACTAACCCGTTGCACAGCAATCATGCAATTTGCATTACAGAGAGAAAGACTTAAAAGAAAAAATATATATTCTGTCATTCTTTCTCAACTGCTGGTCTTAACCTTATGTATTTTTTAACATGTTTCTAGCGCTTATATTTAAAAACAGACGAACCATGTTTCCCCAGAATGACAAGGATCCTACTGGATATATTCATAGGTTATTTTCCCCCACTTGAATTGTCAGTGTCTGTTACTACCTGCCACTTCTCCTCTACCTTTACTGGCAGCTTAATAGAGGGATAGTAGGATACACTTATACTGCTGTAGCACGGATTACTAAATTTCTGCAGAATAAGTTGTATCTCAAATGATCCGTATAGAAAATGTTTTGCCATTTCTTATTATGGCTTGGAAAAGGTCAACTTTGAAAGTTTGGAGAGCAAATACTCATATCGGCCAGGGAACGCAACCTGTGGCCTCCGCCTCCTTTTCTGCAGCCCCTTGAATCTTCTCTGATTGCCCTACCAAATATTGGTTTCCCATCGTTTTGACCTAAGAGGCATGTGAAAGTTGTGGTGTCAGTCCAGAATCATTGCAACAGAAGATCCTGGATCCATCCACATGCAGAAGATGGTTCCGTTAATTTTACATCATTACCTCCACTGTAACCCTTGGCATCCTGAACCACCAGCCTCTCAAACGTTTTCCTAACTTTGGTGTTGACAGTACTAAGTGAGAAGGACTAGGGAGCTGACTTGAAATGGGGGAACACAAGGCAGAAGAGAGACATAGAAAGCCTTCCTTGTCCCTCATTAGCCAGTTAGCCATCCCATTCCTCAGATGGAAAGCTAGGGACAGATTCTGTGGTATTTGCTTCTAGTGGCCCAATTGACTGCCTTTCTATTCTGTTCTGTTCAGGTTGTTATACCGTGCCCCTCACCGTGGTATCTGAGCGTACTTGGGCCCAGATTTGTTTGAACCGGCCCTGAAAATGGTAGATTCTTAATTTTTTTTTTCTGTTTCACAGTGAGCAAGAAAGAAATACATCACAATCTTTTTTTTAAAAAAGTGTATTGACTTTTGTGTTAAATCCAAAGTCAGTTTTGCATGTCTAATTCAGATAATTAAAGTCACCCATTCTATTCATTGGTGTAAAGTGCTGTTTCCATTTGTGTCTCTGTAAATCTGATTAGGAGAAAAGCAAAATAATGTTTAACCTTTAATTGAAGCATGGCTTAAAAGTAATTTTAATCATACTTTACATCAGACGTGTTTAGAAGCATATACCATAGTTTTAAGATGTTTTGCAGGGCTCTGTTTGACTCTGCTGGTTGCAGACTTGAGAATTTCCATTGTTGCTTTTTTTCACTTTGTATTTAACAGTCTCTGGTATGGATGAAGGACAGAACTACAACAGAGGTGACTTGCATCTAACTGCCATAGGGGGTGGGAATGGGTGACCTTGACGGGATCTTCAGAATGCTACTAATATACCTCATTTGGACTCAGTGTCTTGGGCTGAATTTTTATCTAGATTTTGCATGTTGGAGCATGTTGCAAGACATTTTTCCTGCTGAAAATACATGGGGATTGCCTTCCTTTTTATTTCAGGGTTTTGCTAGTCCTTTTTCTTTTTCTGCCTGTTATTTTGTTTGCCTATGTAATGTCTTTTCCCCTTCCTAGACCAAGAACTCGGAAATGAGCACAACTGCAGGAGCATGTTGACTTTTTCTAATGCCTCTATTGTGAACACTTTTTTAATGAAATCATCAATTGCCCGCATCTTCCATGAGCAGAATTAGACTTTCAGCAAGTCTGATTTCTTACTTCCTTTCCTTTCCTTGGATTTCTTATTTCCTTTACTTTAGAGATGGCTGTGTGGTGTCAGTTATTCCTGTGATGTGAGGTTGCTTTTCTTCACTTGGGCCAAAGCATGCTTGGCTGGGGTTTCATAAAAACCAAAAACTCTTCAGATGCATGCTGGCGATTTGCTTAAGCAACTTCATCCCATAAAGCCTCATATGCATGTGGGTTTTTTTGCATCTCCCTTAAAGATTATGCCATGTTTTCCCAACACAGTGATCTATTTCCTTCTACAGCTTATCATTGGGACACTTCTGACTGGATGCCAAGTGCGCGTTTATCTGACATTGAGGAGGTACCCCATTATGAGACAGCAGATGGCGACTCAACCCATCACGGGAGCACAAGGGAGCTTGAGACAGACTACTACCTTGGTGGCTATGATATCGACAGTGACTACCCTCCCCCGCAGGAGGAGGAGTTTTTAAACCAAGACCAACTGCCCCCTCCCCTCCCAGAGGATTACCCAGACCAGTATGAAGCCCTCCCGCCATCGCAGCCAATCTCCATGGCCAGCACATTGAGCCCAGATTGTCGAAGGCGGCCACAGTTTCACCCAAGCCAATACCTCCCTCCTCATCAATTCCCCAATGAGATGGACAGTGGTGGGTCTCAGACTGGGAATGAATTTAGTACTTTTGGTGTTGGCCCAGGACCAAATACGGAAAACAACGTGGCCAAGAAACCCTTATCTTTACACAATTCTCTGGATGCATCCTCCTCTGATGTTTCAGTGGGCTGTGGTTTTGATGACTCTGAGGTTGCCATGAGTGACTATGAAAGCATTGAGGAGTTCTCTCTGGAACACCATCAGGTTCACATTCCTTTTGTGGAGACCCATCAGCAGACTCAAGTGTGAAGGAGCTGTTTTCATGGACTTTGTTGCTGTTGTTTGGTCCCAATTCATAGCATAACTAACTGTTCTCTTTTGCTTAAAAAAAATAGAGTTCTGTATACGGTGCAGGGTGGAAATCTAACTGAACCCATTTTAAGCCTATCAAAAAGTTTGATGTTGTGCATGCACATTACAGAAAGGAAACTAACTATAGGTTGTCTCAGAAAATCAGTACCCAAGGTCATCCATTCGTCTTTGGAGTTGGCATTTGCTGTTTCTTGCCAAAAGACAGATTTCCTGGGGAAAAATAGTTTGATGACAGACCGACCCTTCCACTTCCCAGCATTGCTTGAGTGTTTTAAACCCTAGGCCAGTTAATCAGTAAAGGAAGAGATAGGTGGTAAATTCGTTCTCCCCCCGCCCCCAAAACCCCTTTCTAAATCAGTCCATTCAGAATTGCTGGTCCATTAAATGAAGTACTTCTACATTGCCCCATATGCTGTCTGACTACAGTGAATGTGCTCATAAATACATTATAAACCAATCTTCCTCAGCTTGATACTCTCCTGGAGTATTAAGCTACAATTCCCATAATTGCTAATCTGCATGCTCGTTGGTCATTTAGTCTACAAATTATGGGAGTTGTAATCTACCAAGAGGACATCCAATTAGGGATGGTCGTAACTCATGGCTGCAGCTCTAACTCTAAAACAACAGGGAATTGAGAGTTATTGGCCATCTTTATAAGCCAAATTTCAGGTGTCGAGATGGTCCCCTTAGTCCAGTGTTGTCCAAACTTGGCCACTTTAAGATGAGTG